AAAACAGAGACATTTTCAAGGACATTACTACCAATAACAATTGAAGGGATGACAGGAGGATTTTTTTAAAAACAAAAGTTCATAGTTTTACATTTGGTGGGGTTGAGTGATAATTTAGATTTGTGACACCAATCGTTTAATTTGATAATTTCACTTTGCAATATGGAATGATCCCCAGTGTTACATGCTTCACCCAAACTGAGGTCATCAACAAACTTCCACTTATGTTCAAAGTCAGAGCAGGCTTTATCAATAACTGCTAAAAAGACCAAAGGACCAATTTTAGTCCCCTGAGGTACACCACAAGTTAGAGTCACCGAAGGGGAGAGGGCAGAATGATAACGAACCTTTTGCCTACGTTCAGTGAGAAAACTTATGACCCATGGAATGATCTCTGGTCTAGCACCAAGAGAAATCAAGCTATTAATAGCAACAGCGTGACCAATACTGTCAAACGATTTGGCGAAATCGGTAAGTAAAAGAGTTCCTACAGTGTTAGGTTTGTCACTATGTTTGTAGAAAAAATTCAATAAATCAGATAGGTAATGTACGGTTACTAATATCTATGGTAACAAATACTTCTTTAATGAAAAGACCAACAGGGAGAAATTTCCCCCCGACCCCCTGCTCTTTATGCTAGTAATTTCTCTGTTAACTTTTTCTATAAGATGTACATTAATGGACACTTTCAGTACAAATGTTAAAAGAAATATGTGTTTGTTTGTGATGGTGTGAATGGTATATTGTTTGGGTGTGTGTGGAGTGGTACAGTATGTCTGTATGTGGGATTGTGTATGTGGGCGTGTGTGTGTGCGCGCGCGAAAATTAGTGGGGAGTGTATATGCAAATATGTATGTATCTACGGTTTGAATACTTTATTTTTCAAGTGAACAGCTTGACTTACATAGCAACTATATCAACATTAATTATATTTCCTCTGAAAATGTTGGGTTTTCCCCCCTTCAATATAAGGCTATGACAAATAATACCCACATTAGGTATGACATTAGTACGTTTCCCTCCTTCTCCCTCCTTTCCACTCTTTAAATTTATCCCTGATTGTCATGCCAATGAGTCAATCAATATTCACATCAGCTTAGGACTATGAAATAGTCCCACCTCAAAGCTCAAATAGTGTGAACAATTTACAGTCAACAGTGCAAGTTGGGGTATCTCTTGGCTGGCTGAGAATGGTCAACAAGAAATTCAAACCTGTGACCACCAGGTTAAGAACTAGAATAGAAACTGCTGCACCAAATAGCCTTCCCCAAGTACAACAGTATCAGAAACTGAAAATAAAACTTGGTGTTAATTGGCTTTCACTTCAATTAATTTGATACTTGTAGTCATTCTTTTCCTATTTCACATCTTCTAATAGTAGCACAATCATATGTACAACTTGAAATACCCAACTGTATTTGAACAAGATCTTATTGGAAGGCACGAAGACAGAACTTAAGGGATTTACTTTTGTTAAGTCTATGATGAGGTATATTATCTGCATGGGTTTTAAATTTAGACAAACAATTCCTGAAACATTGTTCATCTTACTATTCCTGAGTCAAACATTCAGCTTTGATGTAAATATTTTTTATGAGCCACAAGACAATACTATTCTGGAGGGAAAGACAGCAGAATTTCTGTGCATATTTTCAGAATGGAGAGAAGGCTTAAGATGTGTTTGGAAGCATAACAGCAGCACAATACAGCACCAGATAAGTAAACATAAAGTAAATTTAACTCAACATGATGCTAAATGCGAACTAGAAATTCCTGAAGTCACTTTATCAGATTCTGGACAATATAGCTGCCATGTGATCAATAGTACTGACACCATACTCCAGTCAACAAGACCTGCTACTCTGAGTGTTATACCATTCCCAACACCCATCTGTCAATCAAATCGAGAATCTTACATGGTGGGAGATGTGCTGATCCTGTATTGCATTGCAGAGATCACTGATGAAGTTTCAACTGATCCTTCCAAACTGGAATGGGGTACTTTTGAGAATGTATCAACCAAAATAATATCAATAAATAATGAAACAAACATAATTTCACAAAATGAGTTGGTGGTTAGAGAAGAGCTCAATGAATGGACTTTTGCTTGTAAACTGAACGTGGATAACTTGGATTTAAAAAATGAGGAAAAACATTCTTGTACAAAGTTAATACATGTAAATATTAATGTGACAATCTTTACATCTGACAATCTTCGAGTTGGACAGTCTGCTGCTTTCAAATGTAAGACTGGACATGACTGTCCACAATGTGAATACAACTGGACAATCAGCAATACCAATCTACTGGTCGACATCTCAGATCCTGACCTCAACTTGACCATTACTGATGAAATGATTGACAGTATACTGATATGTCATGTGACATCTCCTTACAAAGTACATGGATCTGCTACAATTAAAATTAGTGCCAGTATGTTGAACACAACCATAAAAAATGGTGTCAGTATGTTGACCACAGCCATAATAATTGTTCCTGTAGCAGTATGTATCATAATATTTTTGATTATTATAATTTTGATTATCTACAAAAAATCCAAAACCACAAACAATGAAAATAATTCTGTAATTGATAGGAAATACAGACGTAAAGACATGTCAACTCAGTGTAGTTTAGATGACTTTATCTCTGGAGAGGAGGTGGCTACACCACTGCAGCTGATGTCAACATCTCTGATTCCAGCTTCTGCTGAATATCTCCAACCGCTTTCACATCAGCATTTAAAAAAAGACAGTGAGGACATAATATTAACCCATTCTGATCAGCAAAATAAATCAATAATTTTGAATCAAGAGAGTGAATATGCTCATGAAATCTATGTACCAGATGTTCATAGTGATCAATCAAGCCAAACCAGATGTTCAGACATGAAACATGCATACTTAGAGTTGGCAGAATCACACGTCTACCAATCATCATTGCCAATGCAAGACATCCACAAAACTACTGAAAACGACATGCAATGTACTTCCACTAATCAAAATATTCCTACAGACAGTGAATACTCATATGCATATGGACATGTTACTCAAATACGATGGAAAAAATTGTAGCTGAATCCAAGTATGATAAACGTCATCTTCACTTTACACCATTTTTGCAAAATTTGAAAATTAGAAAAATGGCAACTACAACTGGGGGACATCCAGGGCCATTTTGCTTAGCTACCAATGTTTATCTGTGCTAGTGCACAGCTTTCTTCCTTGTTGTTTACTTAGTATTTGAAAACAAAATGCTAAAGCAAAAAAATAGAAAAACAGGGGGCATGAAACCTGCAATGTTTTTGGTTGATTTATTACTGCTCTTCTGGATGTTCCCAAGTGAAAAGTTGCGTGTCTTCAGACGTTGGTGGTGCTGTTTCAAAATATGCCCAATAAAATGGCGCATAGTAACTCATAAGTAACTACCAAATAACACATCTATATCAACACTATTGCTATGGATATGAATGGATGCCATGTGACTTCTAATGCTTCTAAAAAATTGCTTTCAAAAATTAGCTCAAAAACATATTTATTTAAATCATATAATTATTCCCTAGAGCCCTCAGCTAGGCTTTAGACAGGGGAAGGGGTCCTCATGCTTTTATGTAGTTTGCTAATGTGAATTATAATATGTACATATGTACTGGATTTTCATGTTGTTAAAAATCCAAATCTGTTACAATAAGGCTATTAACTTGAAAAAAAAAAAATGCACATGATTTAAAGAAGATTCACTGGAAAAAATAATTGGGAAGGCTGTGTGCATTAGATATTTACTAAAGAATCTGAATGCAACAAGGCATCATCATTCAGTGGATGGCTATATATTTTACTGTAGGACATTAAATGAGCTAGATATAAAAAATTACACTCTATATAAACACACCATGACATATTAAGGTCTAACAGTACAATGTATTGGCCTAACAATTTATAAAGAAATTAGGCCAACTTACATGTACACTTGCATGAACTTATCAATCTATAGTACTACAAAAGTTGCTCTACATGGCCAATTTGTACTTTATTTGATTACTAAGAATTCATGTTGCACTAAATTCTACTCAGAAAAACAAACTAACAAATATCTTAATTTTGTGACCGATAATACACATAGAATACAAATTTTAACACTGCCACCACAAAATTTATATAACAACTCGGCAGGAAAGCAGGCTCACAGCAAGTGATTTTTGAACGACGTTGTCATGCTGGTGGCGGCATCAAAAATGCAATTTACCTTACATTTAGCAAATAGAAGTTAAGATACGGACCTTTGATCCAGGAAATGGTAGCTCTGACCAAGATTGTTCCATTAAAATTACAAATGAAAAATAATATGACAGTTAATCAAAACAAATACTCAAACATATTACAGTATGCCTATTTATTAATTTTTTAAACATTATTTTTTTTATTGACATACATCAATGTCAATAATGTATAATTTATTGATCATGAAACACCCCTACTTTAGAAATTGGAAGCAAAAACTACACACAACCAATAACATCAACCATTTTCTATCAGCCAGTGGCATAGTGTAAATTGCATTTCATCAGAATGTATTATCTTGGGAGGCAAATTCAAAAATTAGTACAGGTGACACAAACTGTGACCACTCATGCATTAAACCAAAGATCTTTTAAACACAAGATAGCGTTCTCCGCGATTTACGCGTGCAAATTCTGTAAT